ATGGGGATCGCGCGTGCGCGCGGAAGGGGGGGGGGGGGGGCGGGGCGCGGTAATAAGGGGAGTTGCGTTCATGTTTACTGTATATGTGCATATATATATATATATATGTGCACACATACACAACGCTAGAGAGACGCATAGTGGCTATGGTAGAACTAGCGTCGCGCATGTAGTCTTGTACCTTTTAGCATGGCAGTTTTACAAGGCAGCATTGAGATGGAACCTTACACGTGGCAGGCGTACTGCAGCACATGGCACAATTAGTATGACAATTTTCGTAAACCAATTCTTGTATGGCAAATGTTGTTCGGACAGGTTTGACACAGCAAGTTCAGCATGGCACTCTTCGTACGACACGTGCAGTATGGCTGTTCCAGTGTGGTAAATTGTGCACGGCAGTCGGCCATACGCAATAGTAGATGGCGTGTTTATCACAAAGTATGTGTACTATGAGAGCGGCAATCGTATAGCGCACGTCGCACGACTTACCCAATGTTGCGCATTTAGATTTGCATCGAGTTGCGCGCGGTTCCCCAACGTATGAAATATCATGACGGCGTTATAGCGTCCATCCGTCCGTCTGTCATGCTCTGTCCGTCCCCCTCGGGCTGTCGCAGCATATTGTGCATGGCATATCTGAGACTGCGCATTTCGTATGGCGCATCCGCATGCCCATCTATACGAAGAGGGCCAGGGCGGGACGCGCGCGCCCTTCCGTCGCCGCCCCCCCCCTTCCCCCGTTCCTCCAACAGTGCCCCTATGTCGTGCGACAGAGGGTGCGAACGACAATTCGACATATTTAACATGGCGCACAAACAACAAACGAGACATACGCAACACGAAATATGTAACGATAAGCGTACCAATATTGCATGTGCCACACTACAGATGGCATACTAAGCAGTAGTGCGTCATATCAAATATGGTTGGCTAATCCTGCTTCGCTAACTGCGCAATGGTACATCCGCGGTGCGCTGTTTACTGCACGTTTGCCATGTTGCGTGTTATGTCATGTGTAAGTTCGGTTTGCTTTCGCCCCTGGAGGGGCGGCGGGGTGGGGCAGTGGGTGGCACCAGCTGCCCAATCGGGGCCCGATGCGGCACGTATAGGTTACGCTTTACGAAGGTCGGTAGCCACGTTGCAAGCCGCGCCACAAAGGATGGCCCAAAGGGGCCGAAGAGCCCCCCCCCCCCCTCCCCCCCCCCCACCACCCCCCCCCCCCCCCCCCCCCCCCCCCCCCCCCCCCCCCCCCCCCCCCCCCCCCCCCCCCCCCCCCCCCCCCCCCCATGAGCGGCCCAAGGCGGCCAATACGGAGCATCCAGGGCCCAAAAGGGCAACGGTCAATCCCAATATGGGCCCGATGTGTGGCCCAACACGGCCCGAGTTGGCACCCCAACGCGCATCGCACGCAATGCGATCCCGACCGTGCGCAGCAGCCACGGCGCATCCACAACCATTATGGGGGGGCACCTTCTGGCCACAATGGGGTTATCCCGTAGCCCCATGCATCGGCCCCTTTCGGAGCCGCCATGGCGCCCCCTCATTGCCAAGCCCCGCCGCCACGCCACGCCGCCCCTGCCACTGCACCCAAGCGGGCCAGCTGGACCTACCTTGGGGCGATGCCGTGGCCTTCTCGGCGCTTTTCGGAACATCATTGGGCACTCATCGGCCCCTCCGTGCACGGAAGGGCCGATCAGTGCCCAAGGAGGTTCCGAAAGGGGCATCATGGTTCAGGGGCCGAATCACAGTCAAGCGATCGCCTCTCGCCTTGCACATCCCATCATCATCGTCGCTATCCGCATCACCATCATCATCACCATCAGCATCCTCCTCCTCCTCCTCATCATCATCATCCTCATCATCAGCATCATCAGCATCATCACCATCGTCATCATCATCATCATTATCCGCATCACCATCATCGCCATCATCATCAGCAACATCATCGTCATCATCATCAACATCATCATCATCACCATCGTCATCATCATCATCCGCAGTATCGCCATCATCATCACCACCATCATCAACATCGCCATCATCATCAACAGCATCATCGGCATCATCATCATCATCATCGTCGTCGTCGTCGTCGTCATCATCAGCATCACTATCATCATCATCATCCTCCTCATCAGCAGCATCATCATCATCCTCATTATCATCATCATCCGCATCACCATCACCGCCATCGTCAGCACCACCATTAACACCCTCTTCCATCATCCTCCTCCTCATCCCCCCTGTTCCTCCTCCTCCTCCTCCTCCTCACCCTTCTCCCCCTCCTCTGCGCCGCAAGTCGACGAAGAAAGCCGAGCCTGGTACTCGTCGATCAGCTGCGCCGCCGTCACCGTCGCGATGGGCCACTTCTTGTCGCTGGGGGCGAGCTTGACGCTCGCGTCCTTGAACTCCTTTATCACGTAAACGGCGTCGCCGTTCACAAGCGAAACGAGCGCGCCCTCGAAGAACCCGTGATCCGCGAGGTTTCCGTTCACCACCCCCGCGCCGTTGTGCTCGACGAACGCGGGGGCCGCGGGGGCAGGCGCAGAAGTGCACGTCGCACTGTAGTCAAACGGGGGCTTGTGCGCCGTTGCCTCCTTCATGGCTGGGAACTCCGTGAAGACCGCCTCGATGAAGTGGGTGATGCACTCGTCGGTATTCTTGAACCCCGTCCGACCTCGCGGCTTCTTCTTGAAGATCGCCATGCAGACGTTGACCTCGAGCTCGGACCTCAGCTTGTTGGCCATGGCATTCGTAATGCCTGGAATCTTGGCGAGCCAGTCCGCCGCCTTTGTGAAGGTGTCCTCGGCCTTTGTCACCACTGCCTTGGCGCTCGGCTTGGTGATGTCCTTCAGCTCAGTCCCCGTGAGCAGCTTACTGCAGCCGTCGCGGACGTAGGACTCTGGGCACACGAGCATCGTCTTGACAATGGCCGTGACGAATCCGGGGCATTGTTTCAATGGCAAGTTGGCCAGCTGCTTGAAGGTCGGCCCGTGGATGTCTCGCCTGACTTTCAATCCTTTCGCAAAGTCCACCAAGTCGTGCAAGTACCGAGGCGGCGTCCCACCCGAGAAATTGACCACGTAGTCGCCCATGTCCAACACTTGGTCCTTCAACCACGGCCTGATCCGCTCGATGGCCAACGCGACCTTCTCCAGGTTCGGCCCTCCAGTCAGCTGCGAGTTCTTGAGGATCCTGGAGTGCACCTGCAGCAGGGTCTGGACGCGCGTCTGCTGCCTGGGAGCCGCACGCGTCGCGTTCCCCGCCTCCTGCAAGAAGCTCGGCAGCGATGGAAATCGTTTCTCTACGCAGCTCCTGATGATCAAGTACTCAATGCCTCGCTCGAGAGGCTCTTGGATGGAAAGACACGTCGCCAACACCTGCACGGTATAGGAGCGCGCCCGCCGCTCTGAAAGGGTCGGGGGCGGGAGCAAACAGCAAAGTCAAACCACCTGGCCGTCTGCCCCCGCCCCTGGCCATTCGATCGGACACGTGCCACTCCCATGACACCTTCGATTTATCAATGCGCCCGTCGCTGCCAGCGAGGTCCTCCTGGTTAGTCTTCGTCTCGAAGTGCAAGCATGCCAGCCCCGAGGTCGCGCGCGTGCACCCTACGGTCAAGCCCATGACGTCCTCGTCAGACCATGGGGGCAACATGCCCTCGCTCGCGGCGACGAGGTCGTGGATCGACTCCATCTGCTTCACGCCGTGCTCGCCAGGGGCCTTCTCGAAGGCAACGGCGCCGAGGACTTCGGTCCACCGCCAGCCCGTCTTCACGATGCAATCCAACAATTCGTGGACGTCGAGAACGTCTACGCCCAGGCCGAACCTGTTGTTGTGGTGAGGGGCCATGCGGGTGCACCGCACCCGCTCCTTGTAGGCGAGGTTCTTGGCCAATAGTTGGTTGCAGAGCTGATCTGAGGCCGACGCAATCTGTGAAGCACATTCGCTGGTATCAACTCCCTCGTACGTTTTGAGCACTTGCGTGACCTGTGCAGTCACTTCATTGAGTGCCTTCTCCAGTGCAGCCGGGGCGGCCATCTGGCAATAGGAAAATGGAAGAAACAGGCGCAAATAAACGCAAACATATGGAAAATAACGATCACGGCAGAGCCGAACTGAGCCACAATGGCTGCGGTTCCAACTTATATTGCTCACTCCCCCTTTCCTTTATTATCCTGGATCCTCTGCCCCCCCCCCTCCCTATCATCATTGAGATTGCTGTAGCATACGGTTTGGGAGAGGGTCTATATAACGCAGACGGGGCCTTTCACTGTGAAAAAAAATGGTTGTTCCCCCGTGGGCAAGCTTAGCTAACTTCGGCACTGACCTAGTGAGCTCACCCCCCCTAACCTAGTTAGCCCCCCCCCAAGCAAGCATAGCTAAGTGCCGTAAGCTACTCACGCTAACTCTACTATTCAAAACGCAAGGATAACGTATGCACGATAGTATGCTGGGCCACGAGGGCCATGTACATAACCAAGTGGACGATGTAGAAGGCTATAAATATAATCACCCCCAGCACTTTACAAACATCTTCGCAAACTTATAACGCATTTTGAACCACCATGCATGTCATTTACATGTTGATATAAGCGCCCCAAACACATAGGAAACAGGGCATCGATTCAAGTGCGCGGCCCGACTTTTCCTGGGGTGGGTGGGCCCGGGGGGCGAGACGTCGCCTGCGAGCTTCCGTTCCTCCTGCCAGGGCGGGTGCACAGGGCAAGGCGGGTCGGCAGCGAATCGGGACACCTGGTCAACCATCGGAACGTGCTGTCGGGTCGGGTTGCGTCGGCCCGGACTCGACATCGAATCGGATCGGCTGCGCCGGGGATGCACAGCAGCGCCGCCAGGCAAGAACCGGGCTGCATCGCATCCTTGAAAGCCGGAGCCGAATCGGATCGGTCCGGAGAGGCGCGCCACGCGGATCGACACGGACCCCGGAGGCGGCGGCGGAGGCGGCGGGCGACGGCAGCAGGCGGCGCCCGCGGGGCAGCCTGCGCCGCCGTGCGACAGCGGGCCGCTGCCGAGCTGCGCGGTGCGCTCGGTGTCGCTGCCGCCTCGACGGCGGCTTGAAAGCGGCGGCGGCGCGGGCGCCGTCCCCAGGCATCCGACAGCTCGAGATGCAGTGGAGGCCAGTCCACAAAATCCCAACGCCCATGGCCTTGTCGTGCGGGAGCACCGCGCTCTCAACAGCAAAACCCTCGAAACCCAAGAAACGCAGGGCACCCTGAAGACAAACATCAGATCGGGCATGTCCTCCTTATATAGGCGGATTCCGGAAGAAGAAATAGTCAAACACGCTAGAACATTGTCTAAAAAATGGTTAAAACATCTTCTCCATACTACCTACCATTTGACTTTATTCTTGGAGACTCCTCCTGTAGAGGGGCAGGCCCGACTGAAGCCCAGCTTCGGGCTCCAGGCCCTCGCGGGCCGGCCCGGGTCGACAGACGGCGCGGGCAGAGGGGCCTCCGGGGCTCTGGTCGGGACGTCTCGCCGCGTGGTGGCTTTGCTCGCTACGTCGGCGCTCCCGAGGCAGGAATCTACCAGCCTGGAACACTATCCCTATCCCTATGCTGGGCACCTCCTCATCACGATGCCAATCTTAGGGATTCCCTTATTTTTTGAGGGCGAAGCCCTAGTATTGTCATCGCCTCTTGGCGTGTCGATCTTAGGGATAGGGATACGTTCGAGGCTGGTAAGAAATCATTTCCTCTCGCTGTTCTGTGGGCCCCCCCCCCCGCTGGGGGGGCCCTTGCTGGGCGGTCCCCCCCCCGTGGCCAGCGAGGGCCTCGCCAGCCACGGGGGGGGGGACCGCCCTGGAACTGGCGAGACGCTGGCTTTGGGCAAGGAGGGTCGGGGCTCCCGAGGGCCCCGTGCCGAAGTGGGCTCCGGACAGCGCGTCCCTGGGGACCCCCGCGTCGAAGAGCAGCGAAACGCTGGCGACTGCGCGTCCGGGCGCGGCGCTAGGGCGAGAACCTCATTTTGAGAACCACTCGGCTTCAATCCGTGAAACTCTTGCAAGTGTATTAAACGCATGTGCGCGGCACTAAGGCGAGAGCCACACTGTAAGAGGAACCGCCCTCGACCGTGAGCCTCTTACATTGTTCAAAACGAACGTGCCCGGCGCTGAGGCGAGAGCCACAGTTTTAGAACCACTCGCCCTCAATCCGTGAAACTCTTGCAATGTTTTTAACGCATGTGCGCGGCGCTAAGGCGAGAACCACACTTTGGAAAGGAACCACCCTCAATCCGTGAAACTCTTGCAAATGTTTAAAGCGAACGTGCGCGGAGCTAAAACGAGAGCCACATGTTGAAAACGACCCGCCCTTCAGCTGTGAAACTGTTGTCACGTTTTAAGCTTCAGCATCATAAATGGTGAGGAACTCTCAGGCGAAACGCGTGCGACAGGGAGGAGGTATCTATAATAAAAAGGAATGGAGGAGGAGGAGGAGGAGGAGGAGGAGGAGGAGGAGGGAGCAGGGAGGGGAGGGGAGGAGGAGGGACGAGCTCCTACTCCCCGCCGAAAGCTCCCCAACATTCAAGACCCCTCGCGGTGAACCAGACCCTCTGTCGGGGAGACGAAAGACTCGGGTGCGGGGGACTCGGGTTGGCCAGACGGGGCCATCCTAAAAATGACGCGACCCAATCCGAAACCTGACGCGGCCTCCCGCTGCAGACGTCCCACGAAACCTGGACCGTCAGAAAATCCGGGACGCGCTAGTGCCAAAGACGTCGGCAGCCCCGAGCTCTGGCTTGCTTGAATCTTGCGCTTCCCCGATGCTCGGGCGGGTGTGAAGGAAACGGGGGCGTCCAAGTGGGGGGGGGGGGGGCAGAGATCATGGCCGGCGGCGCGAACGCGGCCCAAGGGTGGGGTGGGTGGGCGGGACCGGACACGCGCATCGAAATGTACGAGGGGGCGCCGTGAGATCTGGGGAGATAGCACGGCCCCCGCCATGGCATCCACCCCCTCCTAGTCATCACCTCCTTCTTGGCCGCCCACGACAGAGGGGAGGGGCCTCAATGATAGAGGCCCCCTGCATGGGCTCGGACTACAGTAGGGGCCCGACAACAAGAAACCTTCCACAAGAATACCCAACCACGAGACCCCCAGGACGTCCGTTGATCTTTGGCGTGGGAACGTCACGCCTGCCAAAGCAACACCATCGAAACCCCAATCCTGGTCGGGCAGGTGCGTTTCCCTTGAAAGACGAGCAATAGATGGGCATGCCATGCAGCCGCGAGCCAGGCTTCGAGAAGAAACCGCATCCTTTTCGCTGCACGAGCTGAGGAACGGAGCACAACGCCTGAGAATGGCCCAGCGAGAACCCCCTGTGTTGCGACGGAGCCGCCCTCCCGCCGTGACCCTTGTTGTCAACGACGGCGGACGTTTAGGGGGGAAGTGACCTCAACAGAGGCATCCCACATGGGGTCGGACTGGATGGGGTCGGAGGATCGCAGAGCATTCGCCATACATCGGCGATGCACCAGCGACGAAGACGATGCATCCGCGACGTCGGCGTGCAGGCAGTTTGGCCCCGCATCGAGCCGCATCGCCGATGCATCGCCGATGTATCGGCGATGCGGCGCGATCATCCGACCCCATCTACCCCGACCCCATCTTGGAGGCCTAGACTAAGGGGGGGGGCGGCAGCAACGGGCCCTAGAGGGATCCTCCTCTAGGAACCCTGTTGGAACCCTTTTGGCTCCAAAAAGGGACCCCAAAAAGACCTTTTAGGGCCAATTCCTTCACACCCCCTTTTAGGTCCCCCCCCCTGAACGCCCGCCCGAATGATTCGGCGGCTCGCGTCGTGACTGTTGACCCTGGCGTTGGTTTCTGACAATGTGCGGATCGTTCAACCTTGAACGATCGGCAACTCTTCGATCGCCAGACCGTCTCATATTGATATTGGACGACTCTGAAGGCGCCCTGGGACATACAAATAAATACACACAAATAAAAAGATTCCCCATATTTTCCAGCATTTTCTGGGTTTCTGTCTTCCCCCCCACTTCCCATATTTTCCCATATTTTCTTGGGAGTCGACGATTAATTGTGTTTGTGTGTTTTTTCCCTCCTGAATATTGATATTGGACGACTATGCTGGGCCATTGGCGGCGATCAATCATGAGCGCCCGCAGAGAGGTCGCCGCCGCGCCGACGCGCCACGCACCTATACCGTACATGGTGCGCCGCCGGGGGAGCCGATCTTTTTCCTGGACGTCATATTTCGAGGTTTGCGGACGTTGTCGGACGTTCTCGTACGTTTTCGGACGTTTTCGTAGCCTCTCGTTGGCTTTACGTTTTGTTGTTACTTTTTTCTGGACGTTTTCGGACGTTCTCGTAGCCTCTCCAACCTCAGGCTGCTCTCAAGCAGCTGCGCTCTGCCGAGACCGCTCGGGAGGTACCCGGAGCGTCCCGAACGGTCGCTGGACCTGGACGCCAGTCATCCAGCGTCTTGGAGCGAGGGAAACACTGATAAGCAATAAGGGTGCCCCTGACCCTTTGGGAGGGGACCGACGTCAAAAGGTCCAAAAACACAAGGGATAGGGGCCCTGTTGTGCAGATGTATCAGACCACCCCCCACCAAATGCGTCATCACTCGTGCGAAGACGGGGACCTGTGTGAGGCCACGTCGTCATCGTGTCATTAATGTTAGGGCTGGCTGCTCATTCTGGGACCTTCCAGGAGCAACTCGCTCCACTCTGGCGTCGAAGCTTCGTCCAACGTCCGTCGATTCGAGTCGATCTTTAGTCGAACCTGAGTCGAACCTGAGACGAACTTGAGTCGAACTCGAGTCAAACTGGAGTCGAACTGGAGTCAAACAGATCCATTCGGTGTGCCCCAGGAAAACCCCTAATCGGGCATCGAATTATTTTGATCTCGATGCACAATGATCGCCGCGTTCTGCATCGTAGGGCGGGCCTCGGGCCTGGGGGCCTTCCGAGCATCCCTGCGGGCCGGGCCTCCCCTGGAGGATCGGCCAGGGCCTTCGGGAATCTGGGAGAAATCACGAGATCGGATCTCTGGGCTCTTGGACGAGAAGGCGGAGGAGGAGGAGGAGGAGGAAGAGAAAGAGGATGAGGACAAGGAGGACGAGGAGAAGGATGAGGGGGAGGAGGAGGGGGAGGAGGAGGAGATGGAGGAGGGGGAGGAGGAGGAGGAGGCGGAGGAGGAGGAGGAGGAGGAGGAGAAATGGAGGAGGAGGAGGAGGAGGAGCGGAGAGGCGGAGGCGGAGGAGGAGGAGGAGGATAAGGTTGTCGAAGTCGACGACGTCTCCTCCCGCGGGGCGGGGCCCAGAAGTGTAAGCATCCACCACCGCCTCGGCTCCGGGAGCGGCGTAGGCCCCCCCAACCCGGGGCCGGAGCAGCGGGAGGGTCGGAGACTCGCCCAGCACCGTCGACGCAGCGCCCACGTCGGGCCGGAGAGAAAGTGCGACATCCGCGTCGCGCCGAGTCGCCAAGGCAGGAGGAGTAGGAGGGGTACGAGGAGGAGGAGGAGGAGGAGGAGGAGGAGGAGGAGGAGGAGGAGGAGGAGGAGGAGGAGGTGGAGAAGGAGAAGGTAGAGGAGAAGAAGCACGATGAGAAATACGAGGGAGCAGGAGGAGGAGGAGGAGGAGGAGGGAGGAGGAGTAGGAGTAGGAGTAGGAGTAGGAGTCAAGCTAGCCAGCTCGAGCGAGTCAAGCATGGCATGCCCAGTCCCACCCGCCCTCCCACAACATAAGAAGCAAAGCTGGCACAACTGGGGGCCGAAGTCACACCGGCCAGCCGGTTTGGTACAGCTGATGCGGCCGCGATGGCGGTTGCCGACGGGAACTGGCGAGCGCGTGTTGAATGCCGCGCACGCATTGCCAGACGAGTCGAGAATGGCCTGGTACACCGCAGGAAGCCAGAGGTGGCCGGAGGAAGCCCGACGGTCTGACAGGACACCCCAAAGCATTTTTGTGAAAAAGCATTGGGTTTTTGATGTTTTTATGTTGAAATGCTTGCAAACACACGGTGTTCGGTAGGATTCTGACATGAACGCGCGAGTGTGCTCTTTGTGGTATTTTTTGCACAGGATTCGCGGCCTGGGTGCATGACAGAGCATCGCGAGTGCACCGCGCGATGACGTGAAATCGCTGGATTTGACAGAATTCTTAAGATTCCTATGGTTTTCCTATGATTTCAGCAAGAGAGCCCGGGCGGGAAATTTGTACAATTTTTGTGAAAAAAAGCATTGGGTTTTTGATGTTTTTATGTTGAAATGCTTGCAAACACACGGTGTTCGGTAGGATTATGACATGAACGCGCGCGTGTGCTCTTTGTGGTATTTTTTGCAATGGATTATCGCCGTGGACGACAGGACGTCCATGTCGAGAGGAAAAAATAAGAAACATATTGATTTTATATTGTTTTTTACAGGTTAGGATGGGACCCCCCGGATGCGGCCCCTAATGGCCGGCCTGAGGGGGGAGTAGGAATATATTCTAATAAGGAATAAGGATAGGAGGAGGAGGAGGAGGAGGAGGAGGAGGTGGAGAAGGAGATGGACAAGAAGCACGATGAGAAAGAAATACGAGGGAGCAGGAGGAGGAGGAGGAGGAGGAGGAGGAGGAGGAGGACAAACTCGAAACGCCGTCTCAGGCCCTGGAGCGCCAGAGGCCGCGGCCGCGGCTCCCGCTGCAGCGTCGGGCAAGACGGCGGCACCACGCGCGCTGCCTCGCCGGACAAGACAGCGACAGAGGACAGACAGACAGCGACAGCAGCGTCGGACAAGACAGCGACGGAAGACAGCGACACCACAGCGACGGAGAAGACACAGAAGGCAGCGACACCGACACCAGCGTCGGACAAAGCATCGACAGAAGACAGCGACAGGCATCCAGCATGCCTTGGCGAGAGGGACATCACAAACACCCAAACATGAACTCTTCGAGGTCCGCGCGGATTTCTTGGATCCGCGCGGGCCCGAGGGCGCCAGGGGCGGAGCCGGACTGAATCGCCGCCAGGAGGGGCCCAGCCCCGATCCCAAGAAATCCGCGCGGAGAGCAAACAAGTTAATGTTTATGTCGGTTTTCTTTCGTCGATTGGCTGTTCCTGAAAGCCCAGACCCTGCGGCTTTCCCCGATCCAGCCACGGACATGCATCCCGAGTCGTCCCTGCGGCTCTGGACGGACGAACACCACGTCGAGCACGGCTGGGCCCCGGGGGGCCCGGTGGTCAGCGCTGCAGCGCTCAGTCGTCGTTCGGGCGGAATGCAGCTTCCAGTTCGTGCCATGCTGCAGGGTCTGTAGCAGCATCTTGCCAATGATCGGGTGAAACTTCAATACCTTCACCGTGCAAGGGAGCGGCGATATCATCGATCCAACCTTTGACGGGTCTGCGTGCCCTTTGTGGGCCCCGGAAACGGCAGGGCCGTTTTTTCGCCGTTCCCCCAAAAATGTCCCTTGAAATTGGAAACGGCACAAGAACGGCGATCGGAAACGGCAAAAAAACGGCTCCAGCACTGGAACCGGAGCCGGAACCGGTCAAACAACGGCGACGGAACCGGTAAGAAAACGGCGTCGGAACCGGCAAAAAACGGCAAAACGGAACCGATAAAAAAAACGGCCATGTCGCTTCCAGGGCCCACTAAGTGCGCGGCAGCCTGCCGCATGAAGCTGTGTCCGATTCTGCTTTCCGCCCGTCGATCGTCCGCGTCCACCAGATCCTCTCCGCAGACGCCCCTCGCTACGGCCCTGGGGCCCGAGAACCGGCCCCCCGCCTGGAGAGCACCCACGCTTGGGAAACATAGAGGAGGAGGAGGAGGAGGAGGAGGAGGAGGAGGAGGAGGAGGAGGAGGAGGAGGAGGAGGAGGAGGAGGAGGAGGAGGGAGCGAGGGTGCCGTCGGTACCATCCTCTTGCGCTATCCAACGCCAGGGCACCAGGAGGAGAGGAGGGAAAGGAGGAGGAAAAGGAGAAGAAGGAGGAGGAAAAGGAGGACGAAAAGGAGGAGGAAAGGAAGGACGAGAAGAACGAGGAGGAGGAAGAAAAGGAAGAGGAAGAGGAGGAGGAGGGGGTGGATGGAGGAGGACAAGAGGGAGGAGGAGGATGAGGAGGAGGAGGAGGAGGAGGAGGAGGAGGAGGGGCAGGGGGAGGAGGGGGAGGAGGAGGAGGAGGAGGAGGAGGAGGAGAAGGAGGAGGAAGAGGAGGAGGAGGGAGGAAGAGGAGGAGGAGGAGAAGGAGGAGGAGGAAGGAGGAGGAAGGGGGGAGGGTGGAGGAGGAGGAGGAGGAGGAGGAGGAGGAGGAAGAGGAGAAGGAGGAGAAGGAGGAGGAGGAGGAGGAAGAGGAGGAGGGGAGGGGAGGAGGAGGGGGAGGAGGAGGGGGGAGGAGGAGGAGGAGGAGGGAGGAGGAGGAGGAGGAGGAGGAAGAAGATGATGATGATGATGATGAGAGGAGGAGGAGGACGAGGAGGAGGGGGGAGGAGCAGGGGAAGAGGGAGAAAGGAGGAGGAGGGGGAAGAGGGGGGGGCGGAGGGGGAGGAGGAGGAGGGGGAGGAGGAGGAGGAGGAGGAGGAGGAGGAGGAGGAGGAGGAGGAGGAGGAGGAGGAGGAGGAGGAGGAGGAGAGGAGGAGGAGGGGGAGGAGGAGAAGGGGGGGAGACAAGCTAGGTGCGCTCGCGTCATATCTGACATCCTACCCCTCCCTCCCATCCCTTACCATGGCGCAGATCCCCTCTCTACTCGCACAGTCGGATGTCGAGCAGGGCAATGATCCCGAAAGGGTACGCGATGCATTGTAGAGCACGGCATGGCATGGCGTAGAAGAGCACCGCGAAGCGTATCATCAACCTAGCATTGCAGTGCATGCCGTGGCATGGCACGGGAAATGACGCCAGCGCTGCAGCGGGAGCACGAGTCGAAACGAGCGGAAGCGCGGAAATGAGGCCAGCGCTGCAGCAGGAGCACGATTCGGAACGAGCGGAAGCACACCATAATCAACCCGGGAGGCTTCCCGGGCGCCCAAAGCAGAAATTCAAAGCAGAAATTCTGCATTTTCAAAAGAAAAATGTGTATTGGAATGCCCGTTTTCCGGACCCGCCTCGGAACTCCATTTTCCGGCGCCGGCCGGAACCGGCTCCGGACCCGGCCCGGGCGCCGGTTTGGCCTGGGCGCCGGCTCGGGCGCCGGCCCGGGCGTCGGAATCGGCCCAGGA